TACCCTAGGAAACCTCTAACTCCACCCATCCCAGCCCTCAGCTGCTGAAGGCCTCTTGGTGATGCCAATTAACTATTACCTGAATACAATCACATGCGCTGAGGCTCAGATAATCCTTCGAGTAGGGGACTCATCTCTACAACGATTAAGACTCAAACAAGAGCTATGCAATAGATTCAAATCCAACACTCTGAGATTATTCAACCCTGATCACATGTGACTTAAACGTATTCACCTAACAGTTAACTCCCATCACTTCAAGGCCCACATAACACAAAGCAAGCATCATTTGGACGTAAGAAAAAAACCTCAAGCAACTCTATCCTCGAAGAGAGAATTGAACTAGCATACAATGCTAAACTCGTACTATCAGGAATAACCTAAACAGGCTACCTTACTGCTGTCTACTCAGCTCTAGCATGCAGCTCTTTCATATACAGAAGCACATAAAGCAGGCACATAAGGCATCACTCCTAGATCCTTAGCCCCTATTCTAGCATGTTGTTCTACGGAAACTGATAAACATAAATAACTTGTATGGGTACATTGGGGAATACTTACTTGAGCTTGGCCGGTTGCGCACATCACACACATTATTCTTTCTTAAAACCCCTTTTGAAAACATTTTCTCTTTCCAAAATCTTTTAATCACTCGATTTGAGTTCGAGCACCCCCGAAGGTGTGTCCGAATCCCTCAAACCATGGCTCTGATACCAACTTGTAACGACCCAATTTTCACGTCCAAAAATTTCATTTTTAAAAACATTACTTTTTGAAAATGTTAAAAGATAAAACATTGTTTGACCAAACTACATCACAACATAAACCATGTTCAAAGATAAGTCATACAACAAATCGAAACATCAGAGTATAAATCCCAAGGACATCTAGTAAATGCGGAAACCAATGTGTGTGCGTGATGTGCCGCTACCGAGCCAGCTCCTTCCCCTTCGATGAAGAGGTACCTGAAACCAAAATTTGTAAACTGTAAGCACAAAGCTTAGTGAGTTCCCCCATCATACCACATACCATACAACACATAACATACATACTGCCAGGCTATTCTGGGGTGCCTGACTACCCGATACGACCATTCTGGGGTGCCGACTACCCGTGCGGCCATTCTGGGGTGCCGTCCTACCCATGTCAAGCCATTCTGGGGTGCTGACCTACCCGTGTCAAGCCATTCTGGGGTGCTGACTACCCTTCGGTCCTAACAACCGAACTCGGGGACTAGTCCCCTCCTACTACCTCTATCGCATATAACATAACAAGCCAGCATGCAAACATATCATCACATACTGTCAGACGTATCTGGGGTGTCTGACTACCCTTCAGTTCTAACAACCGAACTCTACTACATACAACATATCATGCTAGCATATAACATATCAGGTAGTAGCAACCTAGATGATATCACAAAGACAATCATCTATCATACATCTCCTACTGGTGGGCCGGCATTGTGGCCTTAGACCTACCGCTACTGGAAGGTAACTCACCTCGAAGTAGCTGTTGATCTTCGTGGGAATAGTCTGACTGCTGCTGCTGCTGCTGTTCCGGAAATCCTCCGGCTGTATTCCCACCAAACCCTTAGTCAAAAACTGCTAACTGACCTTTGGGTAAAATGACCATTTTACCCCTGATCATGCCCTAAGTAAAAGTCAGAGTCAACTTCCAGTTGACCCGACTCGCCGAGTTGGCTCGCCAACTCGCCGAGTCCATGTCCAAACGACTGTCCTGAATTATGTTTCTACTCGTCGAGTTAGGCGTCGACTCGACGAGTTCTCCTTCCAAACGGATGTTCAAGTCCTTCATCCTGCTCGTCGAGTTGTATGAACAACTCGCTGAGTTAATCTTCATCTGATGAACAAGTTATACTGTGACTCGCCGAGTTGTATGAACAACTCGCCGAGTCTGATCTTGATTTAAGGAGATTGCCTTGAACTCGCCGAGTCGGGGCATCGACTCGCCGAGTTCCACTATGGGTGAGTTTTAGCTTTCAACTCACCGAGTCCCTCCTGGACTCACTACGCGACTCTACATAACAAAAAGGGGACAGACCCAGAGACTCGCGACTGGACTCGCTGAGTCCGCTCCATGCAAGAGCTAAAAATGCGATTTTGCTCGAATCCAATCCATGTCATTCGTAGATCTGGGCTCCTAGAGCATGAATAACACGTAAAGTTTCCAACTTTACGTGTAAATATCCATGTATGGGATTTTTAGGGTTCAAAATGCACCAAAAGAGTAGATCTAAGGTTTATATGCAATATTGGCTCATAAAGGTAGTGGATCTGAGCTCTTGGAGCTCAACTATGCTTGGATCTAGAGACCAATCAACTTATTTCGAATTATCATGCACATACAAGCTTGGAAATGAGCCAAGAATGTCTTAAATGAAGCCTTAAGCATAGAAACATGGGGAAAATGGGATATACCTCAAAGGAACTGCTGAGAGAACACAATGGTGCTTGGATGGCTTCCCTTCTTCTGGATCTACTTCCCTTTTTCTTTAAAACCTTCAAGAACACACAACAATTGCTTCAACTCTTCAAAGAACAAGCTCAAACGAGGGTTGGGAGCTCTAGGGGATGAATGGGGGCTGGCCTGGAGCGGAAAGGGGGATTAAATAGGGTGCAAACCCCAAAAACTTAGGGTTGCATCCAACAGCGGTGACTCGCCGAGTCCAGGATATGGAATCGCCGAGTCACCAACTTAAACGCGTCCAGGGGTCTCGTCCCTACTCGGCGAGTCGGACCTATGACTCGTCGAGTCCAAGGCTTAAGAAGGAAAATACTCAATTAGGATTTACATACCAGGAACCAGGTGCTACAAATTTGGCATACTTATCTTCCATTGGTAGAATTTTGCTACAACAACAGTTTTCATGCTAGTATTGATCAACATCCATTCGATATGTTGTATGGAAGGAGGTGTAGGACCCCAATTTGTTGGGGAGAGGTCGGGCATCGAGTTATGGGAATCATGGTGGTAGTGCTTAAGACCACTGAGTTGATTCAACCGGTGCACGACAAGATGTGGGTCGCACAGAGTCGGCAGTAGAGTTCTGCTGACCGACGTTGTTCGGATCTCGAGTTTCAGGTGGGAGAAATGGTGTTCCTGAAGGTGTCACCTTGGAAAGATGTCATCCGATTTTGGAATAGGGGCAAGTTGGGCCCCTGGTTCATTGGTCCATTCAGGATTTTTGCCTGGGTTGGCAGGGTTGCATATTGGTTGGATCTTTTGGATGAGCTTGGTCAGATCCATAACACTTTCCACGTATCTCAGCTGTGGAAATGTGTAGCCGATGATTCTATAGTGATCTCGTTAGATGATATTCAGGTGGATGAGCGTCTGAATTATGTGGAGAAGCCCATCATGATTCTTGATAAGAAGACTAAGACTCTGCATAATAAGGTGGTGAATCTGGTGAAGGTGCAATGGCAGCACCGAAGGGGCTCCGAGGGGACATGGTAACCAGAGGACGAGATGAGAAAGCACTATCCAAAATTATTCGGGACATCAAACTTCGAGGACGAAGTCTAATTCAAATAAGGGGATTTGTAACACTCGGAATTTGGTATGTTACCTTTTAGCCCTTGGATTAAAGTTTATTTTTCATGGGAGGCCCCTTCGTACATTGGGCGTACATATGTGTACGCTTAACGTACATGGGTGTTATGGACGCAGACTTTAACCATGTATGTTGGGTGTAGTAAGGTATACGTGGGGGGTACGTGGCTAGAGACAAAAACCCTAATCTTAGGGCATGAGACCTATTTAAGATCAGTTATGACATTTAGACCTCACCCTTATCAGCCTCTATTGCTTGTTTTCATCCCTTAAACCCTATTTTGCTAGTAAGTGTGATCCTTGAGCTTTAAAGTGTCTTCGGTGACCATTTTAGTGAGTTTGCAAGAAGAAGAGCTTGGTGTGCAAGCCTTGGATGTGGTTGAGCTTCTGGATCCTGCATCTAAATCATCTTTGAGAGATTTTGGAGTGTGAGATTTCCAGATCGGTAACCTATCAGTTATTATTTATTAGTGGTCTGACGTGAGTCTTCTCACTATATCAATGGGTCGAAGGCACCAATGTCGACCCATTATCTGACATGTGGACTGACAGTTGTTATGTATTTAATTGCCTGAAGACCCTAGGGGTAACCTATGACACTTGTATGAAGACCATGGGGGTAGCCCATGGCACTTGGATATCAGACCATGGGGGTATCCCATGACATTCTAGGTAAAGACCATGTGGTAGCCTATGACACTTAGATATCAGACTATGGGGGTAGCTCATGGTATTCCAGGTAAAAACCATGGGGGTAGCCCATGGCAACTATACGTATATCGCAGGTATTTTGTGGTTGTATGTTATGTGATATTTTGGGAACTCACTAAGATTTTGCTTACAGATTATTTGGGTATTTTTAGGTACTTTCGATACTAAAGGGAAGGGGCCGACTTGATAGCGTAACATTCACTCTCTAGCATTTTCCGCATTTATTGATATTGATACTCTGATATTTTGTCATGATATGACGTAATGGAACTTTGGGAAACAAATTGTGATTGTAATTCCTATTTTGAAAATGAAAAAATTTATCTAGTTTTTGGGTTGTTACAAGTAGGTGGGTTACACCCGATCTCACAATGGCTTGCA